TCTACTTGCTAAATGAATTAATGAACCGAACGGGTTAATGTTGTAAAAGAACCAACCGGCTCCACTGGGTTCCTTCCCTCCTCTCAATGAGTTGTGTCATACACGAGTTCTTTCACAATGTGGTGTCCTCCCTGCATCGCTCACCACACGCTCCCAGCCTCCAGGCCGCCCCCTGAGCACCTGCCTCTTCTTTCTCGGCAGTCTCCTCTCCTGGTGAATGCCCACTCTTTCCCCAGGGCCCAGCTCGAACGCCACCACCTGATTTCTCACAGCAAGTCCCTGTACATGTTTGTTCCACTAGTAACTCTCCTGGTGTTATCTTTCCCGTCAGACCGGCTGCCTGTGTTGGAGGTGTCACAGTGATGAGGGAGCCGAGAGGAGTGCAAGAGCAGGGGACATGGGTAAGTGGAGCAGCCGGTGCTGTTACTAATTCTGATCAACACACAGGCTCCACCGACGCCCCACAACTGAAACTCTCAGCACAGGATCCGAGGGCCAGTGGGTACTCCATGAAATGGAAAGAAAACAATAAATCTGATTAACTCAGTTTTGTAAGTAAAAGGCATGAGAGGTTAAAATGGGGTACAAAACATCAAGACGGCCCAGATTTCTTTAATAATGAAATAATTTATTATTTGTTAATGGTTGAACAATACAGACGTTTACATATACACAGCAAAGATTCTCTAAAACATGTAGTCCTTCTAAAAACGCATGTGCTAACTGTAGTAAAAAGCACCATTCTCTATGTCTTGACACAGGGTTTACATTGGCGTCGTATTTACATAAAGAAACATCTGGAAACAGAATTGCACACTGTCATCTGCTCCCTGTTTAGACTGTGTTTATCATGAGGAAGATGGCCCCCAACACTGATGGTTCACAGCAACGTTCCCAGAGCACCACGTCCAGGGACAAGGGGGAAGGCAAGTTTGGTAAAATCAAGAATGCCCCCTCCTCCCCCCAGCCCTCGAGAGAGAATAAGAAATCAAAATAAAAACCTGGATCAGCATTACAATTGGGTGTCTTACTCATTCTCATCTTATGATTTTTTGCGAGAAGACAAAGATACTTGATTTCTTCGGCCATTCAACAGCCAAGTAGCAGTGCCAGGCAATTATTTCTTCTTTCAGAAGAATGTAAGAAAATTGCCCATGTACTATTAATGATAAATCATGATCAATCACATATTGCAGCCCTCCCTACAACCCCCAGGGATCTTCAAAAACAAAGAGATCTGATCAAGTAAAATGAGAAATACCAACTCATCTAACAGGGCCTTTAGGTCATCTTCTCCCAGAAGAATTTTTAAAATCGTGAGTAGCCAGCTACCTAAACATACTGCATCCAAGAGTTAGACATAGAAAAAAAAAAATAGATTGCCATGCAGGAAACTACCGCGCAGCCTTTGGCTTCCTGGTGCTCAACACACAGGGCAGGTAAAAGGGGAAGACAAAAAAAAAAAAAAAAAACACTTGGGAAAACAAGTAAGGATAGAGACTTGGGGAAATAGATGATATTCTTGCCAATACCTTATGGTAGAGAAACCTAAGTGATAATGTATATGTATATCCTTTGCAAAAATAAGTTTTCTAACAGATGGGGAGAGGCAAGAAGAAAAAAACCACACAAAAATCCCTTAGCAAGCCCCCAAATATTGCTAGTCATTTTGAACATCACAATCCTACCTAGTTTGCACTTGTTTTTTCTCCCCACACCCTAGGATTTGCTCTTGGCCACCTGAGGGATGAAGAAGAGAGGCCCATCGGGAACCCAGGTAAGGTTCCTTTGATTCTTTTAAAAAAAATAAGAGATTAAAGGAAATGCCCACCTTTAAAAAAAACAACAAAAAAAAACATGTGGCCAATTGCAGGGTCAGGGTCTGTTTAGACGTAAGTGCTCAATTCTGAATGGAAAGTGAAATTATTTTAGTCTTGGGTTGACAGGGAGAAAAATCAAGGTCCTGTTAAAAAAAAAAAAAAAAGTGATGCTCTTTGAAGCAGTCGCTGTGAGCACCTTGAAGGCTTCGTATCCCTGCTTAGCAACAGAAAACTCACACAAAACACCCTGGTGCTCTGCCGCCATCCTAAGCCAAAAGGCACGGGCAGTTACGTCTCCTGGATGTTAGCAGAAACACACACGTCTATTCTCTCACTGCACAAAATGAAACTGGACGCCACACTCCTACTTTCCCATTTGCATTGCAATGGTTTCCATAAGAATGTAGCTGAGATTTCCTTTTAGTTTTTTTAAAATCAATTTTCACATAAAAATATGCATGTGCCTCTATTTATACACATATCTATTTACGTACAATTGTCAAAATCTTAAAGGCTGGGGTTTATGTCTTTGCTCATCCCCTCCCCCCAACAACCCTAACGGAAAGGTTTTTCATTTTGCTTAAAAAAAAAAAAAAAAACAACCAAGAGGACTGTGTAGCTCTTAACAGTCAAGCTGGTGGGTCAGTGAATGAGAGGACAGGTTGGCGAATGGTGCTGCCCATCGGCCGTGTGGAGAAGGGAATTAGCTTGCCATGGGCTGAGTTTGCTGGTCCGGAAGGTTACAGTTTTGGTCAGAGAGGCCCATCTAGCTTGCTGATTCTGTCTACCTCGAGTTCAGAAAGTAACGTCTAATCCTGGTGTCAGTTTATCAATCTAGCAAGTTCCACATTTCTATGCAGTCAAATTGAAAAGGACCAGACAAACAGTGCAAAGGTAAAATAATTACTGTTTTTATATTGGGACAGTACATTTCATATTTTAACCAAAAGACAAAAAATGCAGTTTAACTCAAAGGCACAACAATTAAAACACAGAAAATAATGGCATCTCTAAGATGCCTTATTTCTAAATTAACAAATACACAAATTTTGTTCCCTTCCCTCCCCCAACGCAAGCCCACAAGCTTTTCCCAAGGTCTGGAGTATTTGATGCCACCCGGCATCGTGGACTTGGGAGGCGCTTGAACACAGCTATTACACAGAATGCTTGCGAGGTTTAGCGAATGGCATTCGAAAGGGACCTCAAAGTGCAGACATATCTTTTCAAACACGCTCCAGGCTGAGCTGGCTCTTTGAACACTATCACTCTGCTTAAACTCAGGAAGCAGGCTTTAAAAATGCAGAAGGCATACAAGTTGTATTTCAGTGCAAATCTTCAGCTGGTAATTGGAAAAAGATTCCAACGATAAAAAAAAAAATCCTTTGTGTCACCTGCCCCACCCCCACCCCAAGCTGAAATGAAGGAAAAACCAGAACAAAATAAACACAGGAGAGTTATACATGACTTTGGGATCATTTAGCAATCCACTGCTTCCAATTAAAAATTTGTTTTAATCATTGAGAAAACACAAAAGTAATCGTGCTTTGTTTACATTGCTCTCGTGTCTAGAATGAGCTGCTGTGCAGAGTGTGTGAACATTTGGTGTGTGGAGGTGGAGTGGCGAGGCGGTGGCATGCTGGAGACCGCAGGCCAGCGGGGCACGGGGCGGCACCCGTACTGGTCCAGCCGTTAGCCCTTAGGTTGCAGTGCTTCTGTGGGTTTTAGGAATGTTCTCATCACTTTGTGACATACACTCTGTTTCAGCATCACAGATTTTTACAAATGGTTTAAAGTCAATGGAAAAGATTTCGCCAGAGGCTGAAAATATCAAGACCTCAAAAATATGAATGCAAAAATATTAAGGGGGAATGGACCAATTTGTAGATACCTACATACAAAGTTTCTAGAACATCTATAAAAGCACAAAGTCATAAGAATTTATTTTCCATTACATTAGTTTATATAAAATGAATAAATAGTCTTTATAGATTTAATGTGTCTTATGTACATATACATGTGCTCTGTTTTAGCTTAAATAAAAATGCTACAAAGTGGGAGACCACGTAAGAGAGAAATCTTAACCAAGAAGGAAAAAAAAAAAAAAAATCAGCCTTTTAAACTATCAACCCAAAGCCTTCGTGAAGAAGTCCCGGGTAAGTCCAAAAATAACGAGGGGTTCTGGTAACTGGTACCAGCCCTCCTGTTCCCCTGTGGACGTCTCCTTTCTCTGGTGGCGGGCACCAGCTCAGCTAGTGCCAAAGCTCAGTTATTGCTGAAAGTTAAATAGGAAAATAGAATTGGACCAAATGTCACTTATTCGGGGAGGGAGGGGGCGGGGGGAGAGGCATAATCAATTTGTGTTAAGTGGGAAATGGAGATCTAATTTATCTCTGAGGTAGGAAAAAAAATGTTCCAGAGACAAGTAGCATAACAAACTTGGAGAAGAATGCGCATTGGGGATAGCAGTACACAGCGCAGCCCCAACAACTTCGCACAAAAATAGACCGTACTATTTTGTTTGTGAGAACAAGCGATATTGGAACTTGGATGAGCTGTGCAACCCCAAAGCCATCTTCTCCAGGCGTCCGTTTCGGAAAGACGCCCATCCGCACGGGGTTCTGGGACTGAGCAGGGGGTGCGGTGTTCCCTGGAGGTATTCCTGACCCCTCCCCGGGAGAGGTCTGCGGGGAAGTGCTCTTAAATGCCACTGTCAGAGCTGACTTTGGAGTTCTGAGATCAGGCTCTCAACTTTGAAGCTTATTTCCTTCAATTTCCTAAGCACAAGACACAGTCAGACATTTCTGCTAGGCAAGTAACACAGTAAAGCCAGAAAACATTAAGCAAGGTCTGGTAGGCTACGTGGGGACAGTAAATAAGGGGGGGGGGGGGGAGATTGCTGAGATGTGAAAATTGCTTATTCGGTCTAAGAATTCTTGGGTGCTTCAAATTGATTGGAATGTACAGTCTCTCAGAGACAAATTTTTGTGGAGAGAAAGAAGCTAGTGGATGAAATCAGAAGCCCACAATCCCAAGCACTCCTCGCAAACGTTTACAGAGCTGATCTGGTGAAGGTGGTACACGGAAGCTGACGTGCAAGGGAACCGTGGGCAGGGCAGGTCCGGTACACTACCTACTCAGATCCGCCAGGAGCCCGCGGGCGGGCGGCCGCGGCGACCTCTCTCAGAGGCCGAGGCACGTCTTGCGATTGTCCTGCTGCTTTATTCTCTTGACGGTGGCGCTGGAGTAGCCCTCGTCACTGCCCAGGCTCTGCATGCTTCCCCGCTCGTCAGAATCACTCACGCCGCTGCTGCTCCAGTCCAACTCGCCCGTGAGATCGTCTGTGCTTTCCACATCCACATCGATTTCTTCTGTGGGAGGACAAGGGGGAGAGAGGTGAAGGCACCCTTCAGGGAACTCGGCCTGGAAACCCGAGCCACTCCGGGCAGGCCCTTCGGACACTGGGGCCTCGCCGCTACAGGAGAGAGGGACTCGTTACTGAAGGTCAGCGGTCAGCTCAACTTCCCGACATCGCACGCAGACCCTCCGCTCCCTCTGTCCTGCCTGTGGCCAGTGCGGGGGGGGGGGGGGGGGGAGGGGGTACACGGGGCTCACCCCTGTCGGAGTCGGAGCGCTCGGAGGAGACCGTGGAGCCGATGCTGTCCATCCGTATCCTCTCGATGCCCAGCTTCTCCAGCTGCCTCTTCAGGTGCCGCTGCTCTCGCTGAAGCTGGTCTATTTGGTGAATGGCTTTCCTGTCACAGTCTTCAAGTTTCTGCAAGTCAAAGGGGTAGTTAGAGCCCACACGCAGATTTCAGAATTGGCAATGACCCCGCATCTTCCTCTCTCGCACTGGCTTCTGGAAAAATTGGCGGATTTCATTCATTTGTGTGAGTAGCTTCGCACAGAGACAGGAAGTTGACTGGCTTGGGACTGACCGCTGTGGCTGGGCTGTCATGAGGACTCTAGGGAGGATCTCCGAGACTAGCCGCCTGGTGCCCCTCAATTTTGATACAGAAAAGACTGCAGGCAGAAACCAACCTGGTCTCCCGTGCCTGCAGAGACACCCTGGACACCTAATCTCCGAACTAGAGCAGTGCATGTGGAGGGAGCTTAGGAAACAGGCGTCTATTTAAATGTGTGTTTGTTCAAGTGCATGGCCCAATTACATAAGCGCTTTTTGCATCATGCCAAATCTCAATTAACTTCTGTTTGTTAGCAGGAAATAATAGTCCCTTTTGAAGCCCTGATTTCAAATTGTCCAACATAAGAGCTTTGAAAACACATTTCCGTAGACCACTTGTTTTTACAAATCTGTTCCTCTAGCTTCTCATATTCTTCAGATAATTAAGAAGATGGTTTAATTGTGATTGTTTTGCTCTAAACAGACATTCTTCTCCCTCTATCCCTCCCCCCTTATTGTCATTAATGTAGGCTACTAACCATAATTAAAGTGACATTTTCCAATCCTATATAATAAAAGGCTAATATGCAAATTATCTCTCCTCAACTGGTAGTTTGACCAGAGTTCAACTAGTGGGCAGGGCCAGCCACACCCCACCCATGCACGAATTCATGCACTGAGCCTCTAGTCATGATTATAAAAACCTGCTGCACAGTGATCTGGGCTGTGGGTCTCAAGAGCCTGAAGAGAACTCATTCCCCCTTTGCTATCCCAGCCCAGTACTGAGGCTACCTCTGTGCCAGCCCTCTCGGAAGTCCTGGCCCCCTCCCTGAGAGTCTATATTCTAAGGATAGTCACAAACCACCGTGGACGCCAACTATGACCAAGTGCTGTGAGAATCACCCAGTAATAGGACCACCTGTCATAGAAGGTGACCAGGTCAGGGAAGGTCCCCTGATCTAGTGGTATCTGCTGAGATAGGAATGACAAGAAGTTCAGTAGGTAAAGAAAGAGGGGGAAGCATCCAAACAGAGGGAACAGCATCCCTGTGGTCTGAGAACATGACAAGTGCTGGGGACTAAAGGGGGATGCTGCACACAGGTGAGGGGCAGGCCTGGTGATAGAATATGAGCTTAGGACTGATTGTTCTTGGGAAGATCAGCTCAGAGGAAGGCACTGCGGGATCTATTATGGTAGATGATGGGTGAAAAGGGAAGGAGACAGGCTGTGAAATATTTAGGTCTTGGAGACAACTTAGATATATGGCTAAGAAGCAAGAGCTAACAAGGATGGCCCTGAGTTTCTGGCTTGTGTAATTCGATGGGCAGTTGGATGGACCACTTAAAAGTTCTGGTGCCTTGGGGGTGCCTGTGATTCCTCCAAAAGGCAGAAGGAAGAGCTCAGAGGTCCTGCAGGTGTACATGTGCTGTCCTCATAACAAGCCCCACTGCTCAGGCAAAATACACAGGCATCTCAAGGATACACTTACCTTTATGTGCAACTTGGCTTTTGTTAATAAACTCAACGTAGTGTGCCGATTGGATTCAGGCCCGAGTGGCACTAACCCCTTCAACTTCTCCAGGCACAAACGAAGATGGGCCCGTCTATAAAAACAAGATCACAGTAGCATTTCAGAATTTCATGGCAGGCCACAGGTACACCTCGAGAACAAATTCTGAGAGAGAATGAAGTTGCCCAGGGCCAGTGATGTCAAAGACCACCAATGACCTCTGGCCCAATTTACATCTTTTGAAACCAGACAACTCTGATAAAAACACCAAGGAGAAACAAAATCCAGGGTTTTCTACAGTTAAATGTATTTAAGATACCTGTGTTAAAATAGGGACTAACATCTAATGTTCATCAGGCATATTTATCAGGTTATCTCCAGGCTTGTGAGTAGAGAATATCAAAATTCAGAAAATAATGACATGCCAGGTGATAATCCTTTTAAACCACACTCATCTTTACTCATTCAGGACCAGTAAGTCACTATAGTTATAGCACTGCTGTAGACAGTATTCCTACATGTGAATGACATATTATTCATTAGTTTTATCTAAAATAGCAAAGATAGAAACAACCCAAATTACCATAGGGAATAAATAAATTAGGGTACATTCATGTAGTGGAGTACTATGCAGCTATGAAAAGAGAATATGTTCTATGTGCTATTAGGAAAGAACTCTCAGGTATATTAAGTGCAGAAAAGTAAACTGCATATAACATGCTATCTTTGGTAAAAATGGAAAAACTGTTTTCTTGTATGGACATAAAATCTAGAATGATACATAAAAAACTAGTAACAGTAGTTGGGCAGAGAGAAGTCAGGGAATAGACTGGGATGAGAAAAGGGGATCAATTTTCACTAAATGTGTTATACTTTTTGGTTTTTCAACGATGTAGACTACTGTTACTCAAAAGATAAATATATATATTTTTTAATGAAAAGTACCACTGGTACTACTACATGAACAAGCATGCTGAACAGCTGGAGAGCAGCACGTGTACCTCTTGGAGAGTGGCAGAACGGAGCCATGGGACAGAGTGGAAGAGGAGAGAGGCTGGATGAGGCAGAAGCCACATCAACACCCTGAAGAGAGGGCCTTTCGGCAGAGACTGGCCAGAAGCACAAAAGTTCCTGAATTTTTGGAAGTTAAGACTTCCTTGAAATCTTGGATTGGGTGTTATTCTAGAACAGGGGTGAGGAACGGCCAGCTCACGAAATCGTTGGGTCTGGCCCTGCCAAGGCATTAGGGGAGAGTTAATTAAATGTTTGACCAAATACAGCAGGCTAATTTTTAATGATGTTATAAACAAATGACCCTGGGCAGGAAAAAGGTTCCCCATCCCTGTTCTAGAACATGGCTGATTCCACAAACATGGCCAAGATTCAGGGGTGTTTTTTTTTTTTTCAGCCTCCCACTTCCTAAAGCCTTCCCAGGCCTTCCAGCTCATGGAGATGCCATCTTCTGAGACTTATTTGTTCATTTCTGTTCACTGAGTTTATGGGCTGATGCACTGTCTGGCAGTTACTTGACCATTCAGAGCAAACTCCTTCAAAGTGGGGACTGAGCGTCATCACTGCTGCGCGCCCACAGTGCCTCCCCCTCCCACAGGCTTACTAAAGGGCTGCTGAGTGGATTATGCTATCTAGTCAACTGACTTGAAGCTCCTTGAGTAGAGTCCATTTCTCCTCTATCTTTGCGCCTTCACAGTGCTCAGGATCCGGGGCTTTAGACACAGAGCCATTACCGACACACAATGATCTGAGCAGAGCTCCTAGGAACCAGGGAGCCTATTCTCAGCTGAACTTGAAGAAAACCTTAAAGCTTAGTTTGCCCTTTCTCTCCCTCTTAAAAATGTTACTGTGTTACTGAAACTTGGGAATGCAGGCCAAAAGAAGAAAACTGCATCAGAAAGCTCTATGATCGGTCAATATGCAAGGAAGTCAGTTCACACCCTTCGCATCGAGACTTCAGGTGGTTCCTAAGGCAGATCTGGCCCGGGGTGCACTCCATAGGCTTTTGAGTCCCTGCCTCATCTGCTTCTGGGCCTCCTTCCCCATCCTACATTCTCGAAGGGCCCTCTAAGCCTTAATAAGCTTGAGGAGAACAGCTCTCATTCCTGAGCCAGGAAGGTTTAATGGAACAAATGCCTAACTATATTCTAAGGCTTCCACTTGCTCCGAAAACCTGTCCATTCATTATGGTCACAAGCAAAAAACTCACATCAGATGTCTTTTGGAACATGGGTGTATGAAATGTACTCGTTCACCGCGGATAATAATCATCTTCAAAAAGAGCGGGGAAAATGGATCATGTTACTAGAAACACCATAAGAAAGTAGACTTATACAGTTACCCAACTTATTTCTTATTACAAAGTTTATAGACTAATTGTCGAGCTAGGAAAAAGAACTCGGAAATTAGAAGGAGTTTAAGACATTTTTTAGTTGGCTTGTTATTTGCAAAGACTGCATGATTCAGAACAGTCACATTAGTCTTTATGATGTAGGTTTATCTACAGATGAGTATGTAAATTTTTTAGGAAGTTTGTCTACTGATAAAAATATAATAAAGTCATCTTTCCATGCACCGTCATTCCAGTTACAGAGTCTAGCCCAGAAAGTATTTTCACTACCCAAATGTGGGTTTCCAAAGAACACTCCCAGTTGTGAAACTAGACATACTCAATTTGACTAACTTGAGCTGAGGGTAGTACATGTTCACTGGGTGTCCTCTGGTCTCGTTGTATGAAAATAGGACAGCAGTGCTTGCCTTTCCCAGCGCCTCTGCTCCAGCCCGAGGCCGCCCTGCCCACCTGCCACCTGCCCGCAGACACACCCTGCTTGGTGCCTGGCAGGCTCAGTTCCATCACAGAGCAGTGAAACTCAATTCCTCGACCAGATAAAAAAAACAAACACAGACATCTCCGTAACAACTCCCCCTGAGGGTCCTCCACTCTGAGACACAGACACCTCCACCCTGGGACCCGGAGGCCTGCAGCACCCACGGAGCTCCCAGGTCCAAAGCCAGCAGAACGAGCACGTGTCCCAGCTCTCCCCTCAGGCCTGACTAGCCTCCTGCCCAGGGCTCTGGGTTTGTAAGAGGGGCCTGGTGACCAATTTTGAACCAGGTCCAACTCCATTTTGGGGAACTGGCAGGGAAGCCACTAGACATCTTCTATCTCCTCCCCTCACATCCTCTTCACACAGTCCCGCCTTCTGCTGCCAGGAGCTGCCTCCCCGCTACCCCCCCCCCCCAAGCAGAAGAGGGTTTTGCCAAATCCTGGCCTCCTCCGGCCCCAGACTGCCTCCTCTTTTTGTGACGATCCAACTGCTCTGTACCTAGGTCATGAACTTTGACAGCTTCACCTGCTGACTCTTCAGAAACATTGCTTTAGTTATTCTGAATGGGCTGATACACCTTTGGTCTATGGCAGCATAAAGAAACCAATCTTTGATCTGAGCGATAATCAGTAACACTCGGAATAAAGTGTGGCCTATAACTAAATTAGATATAAACTCTAGCTTCTTGTCACTAAGTTTTTAATATCAATTTTATTTTGTTTTTAATTTAAAAACTGAATCTGCCAATCTGTACAACCCAATATTAGTATAGTGACTAAGAGTTAAGTTTTGGGACCCTGACTTTGCCCCTTCCTCCCTGTGTGGCCTTGAGGAGTTTCTTTATCCAGAGATCCTTCATTTCCTCAGCAGAAGGTGACAGTCCCACCGGAGGGCCGTGTGAGTGTTAACTGAGACAGGAAGTCCCCGGGCCAGGTCTGACATGGAGTGCCCCATATACTGCAGCAGTAACTCTTCCAATCCCCGTTTCCTCTGTGGAAGAGTAATTACGGGAGCAAACACGTAACTATAGGTCTGTAATATTCCCTTAAAGTCAGTAGGGAACTCCATGTCTCACTAGGTAGATAGAGGCTATCTGATAAAATCCAATCACTAAACTCATCCTTAAAGAAAATAGATCTCTTTTGCCATTAAAAGACGGAAAATCTTACCCATTTTCTATGGGAACACAGGTCTTGCTTATGCTAAAAGCACTTGTTTTACATTATAAAATTAGCAAGGAGTTTATAAAGCTATCGCATGCAAAAGGAAAGGATTCCTTTGGGCCACTCATATCCTGTAGGGGCAGGGGGAAGAGGGACTCAGGCGGAGGGCCCGTCCCAAATGCCTGGCCTCCCTCTCACCCCTCCACTGCGAGGCCCCAGGAAAGTAAAGCCGGGGCCAAACTGCCGCTCTCGAGACTTCCAGCACATCTCTCCGTGTGCTTCCAAATCCAGAGACCCTCCGACACCTCTGGCCAGAGCATGCTCCAGAACAAACTTAAATCAGTCTGGGAAGGATCTCTGGGAAGAAAACGACCAAACTTTGCTGAGAGACGTAAGAAAATTTGAATAAATGGAAAAAAGCAACAAATTCCCAGATATGAATCCTCAAAGTAAAAATGTCCGTCTAACATAATTCCAAGAAAATAATTCCAACAGTATTCTTTATAAAACTGGGAAATTAGTTTAAACTTCAGCTAGAGGAATAAATGTGTGAAGAGAGACTGCCAAATTTTTTGAAAAAGAAGAATGAGGAGGAAATGTGCTGTACTAGATACTGAATTGTATTATAAAGCTTCAATAATTAAAACAGTATACACTAGCCGAGACCGGTTTGGCTCAATGGATAGAGCGTCGGCTTGGGGACTGAAGGGACCCGGATTCGATTCCGGTCAAGGGCATGTACCTTACAGGCATATCCCCAGTAGGGGGTATGCAAGAGGTAACTGATCGATGACTCTCTCTCATCGATGTTTCTAGCTCTCTATCTCTCTCCCTTCCTCTCTGTACAAAATCAATAAAATATATTTAAAAAAATAAGAACTAAAACAGTATGCACTAATACAGGACTAGAGAGACAAATCAAGTGAATAAAAAATTCCCAGGAACAGACTCAAGAAAAGATATGAATTTAGCATTTAGTGGGAATAGCACTGCAAATCCTTGGGGGAGAGGGAAATGGATTAGTCAGAAAATGGCAGGGAAGTGGGGAGATTAACATAAAAATAGATTCCAAATATATTAAAGATTTAAAC